TCAACTTATATAATGCTTCAACAATGCATCCCCTATAAGGATGTGTTGGTAACCAAATCGAATTCGGATGCGGAAGCGTGGCGGGGAGGCGGACCATGTCTAACAAAAATTTTCATAAAACTTTTGAGATACTCCATAGATTATATTAATTTATGCACGAATAAATTAATCACATTAATTTATATGTCAAGAACTCAATTAGCAAAAATACCTGGAGGCCGACTCAGATGATAACTTGAGTTCTTTGACCACGAACAATCCTTGCTCCAATCTTTGTGTTTAGAAAACCAAAGTCTTCCACGTCAATTCCTTGATTCTACGTAGACGTGTGTATGGGCATACATGAGACAAAACAGGTTTCAAAAACACTCGAATTTCTACAAACACCAACGCATGCACGATGTGAAATTTTTTGGGAGAAAAAATTTTCCTCTCTTTTTCCTTGAGAATTTTCGGCCACACTAACAATTAGGGCAGAAAAATGTTTTCAAAATTGTGTCCACAATTTTCTATCATTCTTATATTTAAATAGTAGAAGTCAAACTTCAAAAAGAAATCAAATCTCTATCTCCTATTTTTATTTGGAACAAAAAATCTCCTACACCTTATCCCTTAAGTGGCGGGCCACCCTAGGGTTTTTCATCCCTGTGTGTGGCGCCAATTGCAGTGAGGGAAGGAAGAGAAAATCATCATTTATCCTGCAGTCCAATTTTTAAATCAAATTAAAATTCAAATTTAAGTCAAACTTAAATTAATTTGAATTCTAAATTGAACAACTTATCAAATAAGTTTAAAAGGATAAATTTAAATTATGTTCACAATTCAAATTCAAATTTAAATTTAAATAATCACATTATTTAAATAATAATTAATTCTCAATTAATTATTTTTCGAGTATTTAATTTTAGAATTTCATAGTTCTAAAATTCCCATTTTGTCCTTTGTGTCTGGTAGAATTACAAAGACGACGCGAGGACTAATTGACCTATAATACCGAGCTCCAATAAAATTCATAATTAATTAAACACTTTAATTAATTAATTAATTAATTCTATTAATTTCAATAGTTACTCCACTATAAACTTGGAATTGAACTCTCGAAATTATAGACATTAATTACTTCTAAACTGTGAA